ATTGTAGGACAAATGTTAGTTAATTTTGTACAGTTATGGAAGACAAGTGGGTAAAAATCTACAATGAAGTCATTTTGATCTGTTATTAGACTGGGTGTTAGTAGTCTGAGGATGGGTGGGGGTTGAGTGAAGCAGATATCATTAGAGGATGGCTGGGGGTTGAGTCATTTTAGATCTGGGGTTGATTATCATTACTGGGTGGGGTTAGTAGATATCATTAGAGGATGGGTGGGGGAGGAAGCAGATATCAAGCAGATATCATTAGAAATCCATCAAAATCCAAAAATAAACATACATTTATACAAACAAAATTTCACAACTGAAATTTTATAGAAAAATAATAAAAAAATCAGCAAATTAAGATAACATAAAAAAACTGAAAACACAAAATCAATTACGATTCCATCTGTCGATTCAATGGCATAATAGAACCCTCCACCATTGATTTACATTTAGTATTTACAGTCTACAAGGGAGTTATAGGTAAGATACAAGAACTATAGTGTCTGCATAGATATTAGTTTATCAGATGCATGAGAATTTTGGGGAAAAAATGCAGGGTCTTATATGCCATTAAATATGGTGTGTGTGTGTATGTATATATATATATATATATATATATATGAAAGACATATACATCCACAAAAGAATTTATGCTTTTAAATGTTCAAAAAGTTCCAAAACTTTGTGAGTCATTACGAAGGCACAGTTAATGACTTTCAATATTATTTTTGAAATTGGTAGGAGTATTGAGAAAATATGGAGAAGCTTCCCTGGAGAATTGAGAGGGTTATAAAAATATTTCCATAAAATACAAAGTATAATTCTTGTAATTAAAATGGGATTTTGATGGGAGGGAGAGAAAACATTTTTGGAAAAGTGCAAGGATAAGGTAAAATATTTTTTGGGGAAGGTTTCTTTTTTGGTTTGGTCATTTCTCTTCAAGATGTAGACAATTGTGGCTCTCCACAATTTCTTTTTCTTTGACTTGCCTGGAGTTCTTAAGAAAGATAGTGGGGCATGCTTTCTTATGGCTTCCACCACAATTTGGAATATAGAGTTGTTCTTCTATAAGACTGGCTGCTACTCAAGGCTAAAGAGCACAGTCTACCTGGTTATTTCACTCAAAGATTGTGGGGGGGGAGAGAAGAAATGCATTCATGCCTTTCTCAATGTCTCAATTGCAGTGTAAAGTGAATAGAACGGTTGATACTGAAACTTGAACCTGGCTTGCCGATTCCACTTTCTGTACTGATAATGATTAAGCTAGCTGCACATTAGAGGAATTACTTTGATTATAAAACTGGGCATTCAAGGGAAGGCTTGAAACCAAAATTCTTGTTAAGAGAACTCTGTTTCACACGAGTGATACACACTGACTTTAACCAGAATCCTTTCTTTTCATACAGTTTTGTAATAAGAATGTAGTCTGAAGTGGCCCACAGAGATTTGTGAGATCAGTGAATTTTAAATGCATTTATTTAGAAGAAAGTGTAATGAAAGTGCACTGATCTCACAGTTTTGTAAGGAAATTGTTTAATGGCTACCAATGTAAAAAGCAGTTACAACACTGCAATGCAAATACCAAAGAGGACATTAAACATAATGTAAATGAAGTCGTTTCTGACTTCATGTGTTATATTCCAAGATCTCTAGTGGATACAAGAAATTGCAAATCATACCAAACCTGATAAAAAATACAATGATTTTCCTATAAATATATATAACCATAATAATGTTTGATTTATAAAGTTAGGCATCATAAAAGATGAAAAACAGTAAGAAATAATAAAATAGAAAATTAGAACGCTAGACTATGAGAAAAGTTATGTGGCAGATTTGTTCTTACTGAAGATATGAGCACAGCTCTTTTTTTCTTTCCTAATTGAGAACTTTCAGCTTTTCATTTAAAATAATCCCTTTAATGCTTCACTTTGGTCGACTTGAAATGCCAGCATCAGCATCCTTGCACTTTGGAACAGCAGCAGATATTGTCCTGTCTGATATTCTTTATTCAGCAGGGAGGAAACTGGAAATCATTATATATATATATATATATATATATATATATATATATATATGTGTGTGTGTGTGTGTGTGTATGTGAATGGAATCACTTGTGGTGAGAATGGGATTGTGTTACTGGGAATGAATCAAGCCAGTCACAATATTTTCTTTCTGTTTGTGACCATTTTTGTTTAAAAAAATCTCCTTTTTGATTGTACACCTGAAGAAGGCTATAGCACAGGCTGGCTGAAATGTGGTAACAACAAATGTAACACAAAAAATAGTTCAATCATGGATATACACATGCATATTTATACAGACAAATTTAAGCAACTTTCTTTTTTAAATTTAAAACTCAAGACAAATTAATTTTTAGTCATTACACAAAATTTAGCCAGTATCAAATGGAAGGTAGTATGAAAGATACAAAATTTTGTTGTGAGTCAAATCAATTTTACTGCTGATGACAGAGTGAAAAGCTGAGAAAACTTAAGTTTTATTCAAAGATGACAAATATATATATATATATATATATATATATATATAAATTCAAAAAATTTAAACCATAACTCATAAAAATAGTTTTATGCTGATAATTTTGTTATGACTTCCAATGAAAGTCTAAGAACGTTTTGAACATCTCTTGAATAAAATATTTATTTGAGATTTTATACAAAGAGAGAAATGTATATAGATTTTTATACAAAATAAATGTTTACCAAAGCAAATGACACCTTTTTTCATTTTTTTAGAATTAGACACTTAAATCAAAATTAGCCATTTTTTTTATGTTGCTATGATGAAGCAAATGGATCCACAAAATATCTGTTGTGTATCTGTTTTTTTAAAAATTATTTTTAGTATGCAAGGCATGAAACTAAAGAGTTCAACTTTAAAAACTGATATTATATTAATGGGCTTTTGAAAGAAAAACCAAAACAATAAACTTTGAGAGATTTGAAAATGCATTTACGTGAATAATTTAAAGATGACACTGAAAAAACAAATATAGAGGGACCTCTAAAAATTCACTAAAAATGAGCATATATGATGAAAAAAATGCCTCAAACTTTATATATATATATATATATATATATATATATATATTTATATATATATATATATATATATTTGTTCTATGAGCAGGTGAAATTATTGGAGTGCCATTCTAAACTAAGCTGACATCTTGTCTCCAATGGCATTTTAGGGGTGAAGTGCAGTTACTTGGTAGTGACCATTTTCTAGTCAAGTATCATGCATCAGAATTAATTGATTCCATGCAAGTAGTAGGGGATAATCCCTGACCTGAAATGAATGTGACAGGGGTCATCACAAGAACAATGTGGTGGTGGTAATGGGGAATCAAATCATCAGATATCAAAGCTGAAAACTTTTGTCAATAAATGTGATTTGGTAAGAAAGAAAGCTGAGAATAAAACAATTATCAATATTTAAGTTGGTTCGAACCCTATCAGGAAGAAAATGGTTTCAAAGGAAATGAGTTCAGCACCAATTTTTATTTAATATTTTTTTTTGCTGCCATAAGTGGATTATTTAGCACCATTGATAATCATAAGAAAAGTTTTGAGAACGAAGAACACCACAAAGTGAATTATTAACAAAGTGCTTATTAAGGCTTTCTATACATACAAGAATCAGTATTCAGAAAATATTTGAATAAGCATTTCTCAATTTATAATGATTATTATAAAAACAGTAGTTGTTTCAATTTTCTTTCCCATCCATATAACATTAATAATAGTTCACATATAAAATGCAGTGTGTGTGTGTGTAATAGTTTTGTACATTATTGGAAGAGTCCACTATACAAAGATGGGCAGATTTTTCCTCTATATTAAGTAGACCCTTCTGATAACAGTAAAAATAGAAATTTGTTATTTTAAAATTGACAAAATGACAATTTGTTATGGTTTATTTTTAGCTTTTGTATATAAATGGATATCAATGTTATAATTGCATTGTATTTCTATCAAAATCTTGCCATCATTACTTGACACCCATTTTGATTAATTATTAGTAATAATAATAATAATGATGATGACGAAAAGGTTTTTCATTGATAAGAAAAATAATGGTGTCTCCTAAAATATTTATTACATAAAACTTAACATTTTCTGGTGTTTTCAGGATTATTTTTTTTCTAGGAATTTTATTTGTAAGATGAATTTTTGTTGTTCTTCAGATATGTGACTTGTTTTGATTGACATAAAAGAGGAATTGGCTAAAGAGATTAAGACATTCTAGTCTGTTCATTATATAATCTCACTTATTCTCACTTTTCCTAATCTGTATAAGTATCACCTATAATTTATCCCAAATATCCAGCAATGATCATCAATTTATTTTAGTAGAATAAAATTCAAACTCAGCAAAAGCTTTGTCAAAATTGAACTGTATACAAGCCAATGTTTTATTTTTCCTTTACTGATTTGGAAGATATACACAACCCAAATTAGCTTTAGTCGTCATCATTAATTAAAAAAATATTTAACAAAAAATCATATCAACTTGAAAAGACCTTCCATTTGAAAAAGGGATATGTAAATTTCCCACTAAGTTTGGAGGTATTTTCTTTTTCCTGACCTCATATTATGAATATTTTGTAAAATTTGCAACAGAATTTTTTTAGATGGTGTAGAACATATAACTTTTGGAAAATAGAAAAAAATCTAAAAATACATTAAATACATACAAAATAATTTATGACAACACAAATTAAAACTACTTTTCATACTGATAAAGAATCAGAAAAAGCTTGTTTTGTGAAATACACAGTTAATTATATTCAAGACGATAGAGTTCATCATTTCAAAGATACAAATCAAAGAAGTTATCATAAAAATTTGGCCTTGAGCCAGACTGAATTAGTCTTGGTGAGAGAAAATTTATGGAATCCCATTGTGAAGCAATAGTTCAAAAGTTACACTTGCATGCCAATAGAGCTCTGATGAATTAAATTAAAATTGAGTACACTACACATTTGGCCTTGGTAAAGGTGGATTTACAGGATTCTGTTCAATGGTTTGCAGTCTAGACTTGCATACCAATAGAGCTCTAAAGAACTGAATTTAGACTGAGTATCCTACACATTGGGCCTTGAGCCAAATTTAATTAACCTTGGTAAAGGTGGATTTACAGGATTCTGTTCAATGGTTTGGAGTCTAGACTTGCATACCAATAGAGCTCTAAAGAACTGAATTTAGACTGAGTATCCTACACATTGGGCCTTGAGCCAAATTTAATTAACCTTGGTAAAGGTGGATTTACAGGATTCTGTTCATTGGTTTGCAGTCTAGACTTGCATACCAATAGAGCTCTAAAGAACTGAATTTAGACTGAGTATCCTACACATTGGGCCTTGAGCCAAATTTAATTAACCTTGGTAAAGGTGGATTTACAGGATTCTGTTCAATGGCTTTCAATCTAGACTTGCATACCAATAGAGCTCTAATGAACTGAATTTAGACTGAGTATCCTACACATTGGGCCTTGAGCCAAATTTAATTAACCTTGGTAAAGGTGGATTTACAGGATTCTGTTCAATGGTTTGCAGTCTAGACTTGCATACCAATAGAGCTCTAATGAACTGAATTTAGACTGAGTATCCTACACATTGGGCCTTGAGCCAAATTTAATTAACCTTGGTAAAGGTGGATTTACAGGATTCTGTTCAATGGTTTGCAGTCTAGACTTGCATACCAATAGAGCTTTAATGAACTGAATTTAGACTGAGTATCCTACACATTGGGCCTTGAGCCAAATTTAATTAACCTTGGTAAAGGTGGATTTACAGGATTCTGTTCAATGGTTTGCAGTCTAGACTTGCATACCAATAGAGCTTTAATGAACTGAATTTAGACTGAGTATCCTACACATTGGGCCTTGAGCCAAATTTAATTAACCTTGGTAAAGGTGGATTTACAGGATTCTGTTCAATGGTTTGCAGTTTAGACTTGCATACCAATAGAGCTTTAATGAACTGAATTTAGACTGAGTATCCTACACATTGGGCCTTGAGCCAAATTTAATTAACCTTGGTAAAGGTGGATTTACAGGATTCTGTTCAATGGTTTGCAGTCTAGACTTGCATACCAATAGAGCTTTAAATGAACTGAATTTAGACTGAGTATCCTACACATTGGGCCTTGAGCCAAATTTAATTAACCTTGGTAAAGGTGGGTTTACAGGATTCTGTTCAATGGTTTGCAGTCTAGACTTGCATACCAATAGAGCTTTAATGAACTGAATTTAGACTGAGTATCCTACACATTCGGCCTTGAGCCAAATTTAATTAACCTTGGTAAAGGTGGATTTACAGGATTCTGTTCAATGGTTTGCAGTTTAGACTTGCATACCAATAGAGCTTTAATGAACTGAATTTAGACTGAGTATCCTACACATTGGGCCTTGAGCCAAATTTAATTAACCTTGGTAAAGGTGGATTTACAGGATTCTGTTCAATGGTTTGCAGTCTAGACTTGCATACCAATAGAGCTCTAATGAACTGAATTTAGACTGAGTATCCTACACATTGGGCCTTGAGCCAAATTTAATTAACCTTGGTAAAGGTGGATTTACAGGATTCTGTTCAATGGTTTGCAGTCTAGACTTGCATACCAATAGAGCTTTAATGAACTGAATTTAGACTGAGTATCCTACACATTGGGCCTTGAGCCAAATTTAATTAACCTTGGTAAAGGTGGATTTACAGGATTCTGTTCAATGGTTTTGCAGTCTAGACTTGCATACCAATAGAGCTTTAATGAACTGAATTTAGACTGAGTATCCTACACATTGGGCCTTTAGCCAAATTTAATTAACTTTAATGGAATTTAAAGGTGGATTTTAATTAACCTTGGATTCTGTTCAATGGTTTGCAGTCTAGACTTGCATACCAATAGAGCTCTAATGAACTGAATTTAGACTGAGTATCCTACACATTGGGCCTTGAGCCAAATTTAATTAACCTTGGTAAAGGTGGATTTACAGGATTCTGTTCAATGGTTTGCAGTCTAGACTTGCATACCAATAGAGCTTTAATGAACTGAATTTAGACTGAGTATCCTACACATTCGGCCTTGAGCCAAATTTAATTAACCTTGGTAAAGGTGGATTTACAGGATTCTGTTCAATGTTTTGCAGTCTAGACTTGCATACCAATAGAGCTCTAATGAACTGAATTTAGACTGAGTATCCTACACATTGGGCCTTGAGCCAAATTTAATTAACCTTGGTAAAGGTGGATTTACAGGATTCTGTTCAATGGTTTGCAGTCTAGACTTGCATACCAATAGAGCTCTAATGAACTGAATTTAGACTGAGTATCCTACACATTGGGCCTTGAGCCAAATTTAATTAACCTTGGTAAAGGTGGATTTACAGGATTCTGTTCAATGGTTTGCAGTTTAGAGCTCTAATGAACTGAATTCTGTTCAATTGGTTTGAGCCAAATTTAATTAACCTTGGTAAAGGTGGATTTACAGGATTCTGTTCAATGGTTTGCATCTAGACTTGCATACCAATAGAGCTGTAATGAACTGAATTTAGACTGAGTATCCTACACATTGGGCCTTGAGCCAAATTTAATTAACCTTGGTAAAGGTGGATTTTCTGTTCAGGATTCTGTTCAATGGTTTTCAATCTAGACTTGCATACCAATAGAGCTTTAATGAACTGAATTTAGACTGAGTTTCCTACACATTTAGGGCCTTGAGCCAAATTTAATTAACCTTGGTAAAGGTGGATTTACAGGATTCTGTTCAATGGTTTGCAATCTAGACTTGCATACCAATAGAGCTCTAATGAACTGAATTTAGACTGAGTATCCTACACATTGGGCCTTGAGCCAAATTTAATTAACCTTGGTAAAGGTGGATTTTCTGTTCATTGGTTTGCAGGATTCTGTTCAATGGTTTGCAGTCTTTACAGGATTCTGTTCAATGGCAATAGACTTGCATTTAATGAACTGAATTTAGACTGAGTATCCTACACATTGGGCCTTGAGCTAAATTTAATTAACCTTGGTAAAGGTGGATTTACAGGATTCTGTTCAATGGTTTGCAGTCTAGACTTGCATACCAATAGAGCTTTAATGAACTGAATTTAGACTGAGTATCCTACACATTCGGCCTTGAGCCAAATTTAATTAACCTTGGTAAAGGTGGATTTACAGGATTCTGTTCAATGGTTTGCAGTCTAGACTTGCATACCAATAGAGCTCTAATGAACTGAATTTAGACTGAGTATCCTACACATTGGGCCTTGAGCCAAATTTAATTAACCCTGGTAAATGTGGATTTACATGACTTGCATACCAATAGAGCATATCTTGCCTTGAATAATGCCTACATTTAGTAAATATTAAGAAATACACTATCAAAAAATCATTTGAGGAAATCTTTTTGTTTTCAATAAACTTTTTTTTTTTTAAATTCAAAATGTGAGGTTGAGTAGAAAATTTCCTTCCAAAGATAATTTTTGTTTTTTCACCTTTAGTAACTCATCATGAGGTTTAACTAAAGGGAACGAAATTTGAAAAACTGAATTGAGGAAGGTCAAGTCATTTGAAAGATTTTCTTTCTTTTTGGCTTGGAGATAAATATAAATAAAAAATTTCAAAAATCATGAAAAAATTAAGAAAGTGTTTTCTCTGTCCTTTTACTTTTGCTTTGAAAGTTAATCCAGTGTAAATGATAAAAAACTTAATTTTTTTTAAGCCAGCATATCCAACTTTTTCTTATTAGGTATGGAGGTTTTACATTTTCTATCTTTGAGCCTCCAGCTTGACAGAAAGGGAGTAACTGTAAAGATCTTCAATTTTTTTTCTACATAAGAACAAAAAGGCAATAATTACAACTTGATGCAAAAGGTGGCCAGATAATTCACTACTTGTTTTTTGTTGTAATGCTCAAGTCATTTTTATTATTCTAAAATAATTTAGTAAGGAAAACTTAGTAAACATTTTATTATGACCATTGTTCTGACAGGAAGCATATTTTTTGATTAGAGCTTGGTTCTAGCTGAAAGAAAACTGTTACACAATTTTGATGGGTGACTTCATTGTAAAGACAGAGGCAAGAAAAGGTAGAGGGAAAATATGGAAGAGAAACAAAAATTGTGAAATGTTTGAGTGGATGACCTGTTTGATGAGAGATGAGAGAAAACCGTTACATGTGTTTGATTAGCAATTTCATTGCAGAGGTAGAGATGAGAGAGAGAGAAAGGTGAAATGTGAGTTAACCTTTTCAAAATAAATGTCAATTGGTTTTTCAAAATTGAAGAGGACGCAAATGTCCAAACTGGAAAACAAAGAATGAAACTGACTTTGTAACAAGGTAACTTGTTTGTTAGGAACATTTATTTTATAGTTCTGGTGGCAGCGAGTTGGAACAGAAAAATTTATAAGTTCGACTCTTTGGGTGAAATCAAATTTCCTCAGAAAATTTGGTTTTGAAAGACATCTGTTCTTCAAATATCTGCAGATTTTGACAGGTGACAACATTGTTTTGTTTATGTTTACCTAGAAGCTTATCAGACAAATATCTAAGGTTGTTATTTTGAATGCAGATGGCTTTGAAGGTTGTTGATAATTATAGTTTGGATAAGTAAAAAAAAAACAGAGGTAATGACCTTTTTTGACCCCTTTTGTGTTCGAGGGATTCTGAGAGAACCCGTGGGTGGATAAGTCCTCATATATACAGTATTTTATCAAATGGAGGCAGAGAGAGCCAGGAGAATCGAAAGGAGTGACACATTGAAGATTGGCTAATCAACACACACACAATTCACATCTGCCTGAAATTAACTTGATGTTTGATTCCATGTCACTACCCATCCAGAAGTGTTAAGCTATATCAAAATTTTGTAAATATTCTATCTTTATTTACTATTATTAAAAATATCATTTTCAACCAAGATCAGGCCTTCTCCTTATTTTGACAAGAGCATGACTTTCTTTTCTTCAGGCCAGTCATCAAAAAAATACCACTTACTGAATCAAGAAGGGCACCCCACCTTTAATTTACCCCCACCCCCCAATTATTTTTTTACTTTCAGGATAAAGGTATGTTTTTAGATATATATTTTGTATGTGATAAAAAATATTGTTGGTAATTTTACTATGAAAAAGTATTCTTATATTTTACATCGATTGTCATTTCGCTATAA